AAGTGGCAACTTATCTATTTAGTAAAACTCTAGCCCAGGGTTTTATAAGCTAGGGTTCCTCTTGAGATTGCTAGGGCAAGAGTTAAAATTTTGAGTCCAGACCTACTAGCCGGTCACAAAACTTACTCTACACCAGTTGCCCCACCCAACCTTGCCCAAGTCCGCCACCAACCCCACCCCGGGCCAGCCCCAACCACGCCTCCTTAAAGCTTATGAAATGACATTATTCTTTAGAATAAAGAGTCCAAAATATAAAACTGTACACAGTAACGTATATCCCAGCTCCCCTGTACTCCATTATAGTGATATGACATGTATACAGTAATGTATATCCCCCTCCCCTGTACTCCATTATAGTGATATGACATGTATACAGTAATGTATATCCCCCTCCCCTGTACTCCATTATAGTGATATGACATGTATACAGTAATGTATATCCCCCCTCCCCTGTACTCCAATATAGTGATATGACGTGTATACAGTAATGTATATCCCCCCTCCCCTGTACTCCATTATAGTGATATGACGTGTATACAGTAATGTATATCCCCCCTCCCCTGTACTCCATTATAGTGATATGACATGTATACAGTAATGTATATCCCAGCTCCCCTGTACTCCATTATAGTGATATGACGTGTATACAGTAATGTATATCCCCCCTCCCCTGTACTCCATTATAGTGATATGACATGTATACAGTAATGTATATCCCCCCTCCCCTGTACTCCATTATAGTGATATGACGTGTATACAGTAATGTATATCCCAGCTCCCCTGTACTCCATTATAGTGATATGACATGTATACAGTAATGTATACCCCCCCCTCCCCTGTACTCCATTATAGTGATATGACACGTATACAGTAATGTATATCCCCCCCCCCCTGTACTCCATTATAGTGATATGACACGTATACAGTAATGTATATCCCCCTCCCCTGTACTCCATTATAGTGATATGATATGACACGTATACAGTAATGTATATCCCCCTCCCCTGTACTCCATTATAGTGATATGACGTGTATACAGTAATGTATATCCCCCCTCCCCTGTACTCCATTATAGTGATATGACGTGTATACAGTAATGTATATCCCCCCCCCTGTACTCCATTATAGTGATAACATGTATACAGTAATGTATATCCCCCTCCCCTGTACTCCATTATAGTGATATGACGTGTATACAGTAATGTATATCCCCCCTCCCCTGTACTCCATTATAATATGACATGTATACAGTAATGTATATCCCCCCTCCCCTGTACTCCATTATAGTGATATGACGTGTATACAGTGACAGTAAATGTATATCCCCCCCCTCCCCCTGTACTCCCCATTATAGTGATATGACATTGTATACAGTAATGTATATCCCAGCTCCCCTGTACTCCATTATAGTGATATGACGTGTATACAGTAATGTATATCCCCCCCCCCCTGTGCCACTCCATTATTATATGAAATGTATATTCTTTAGAATAAAGAGTCCAAAATGTATACATGTATACAGTAATGTATATCCCCCCCTCCCCTGTACTCCATTATAGTGATATGACATGTATACAGTAATGTATATCCCCCCTCCCCTGTACTCCATTATAGTGATATGACATGTATACAGTAATGTATATCCCCCTCCCCTGTACTCCATTATAGTGATATGACATGTATACAGTAATGTATATCCCCCCTCCCCTGTACTCCATTATAGTGAATGACATGTACACAGTAATGTATATCTCAGCTCCCCTGTACTCCATTATAGTGATATGACATGTATACAGTAATGTATATCCCCCCTCCCCTGTACTCCATTATAGTGATATGACATGTATACAGTAATGTATATCCCCCCTCCCCTGTACTCCATTATAGTGATATGACATGTATACAGTAACGTATATCCCAGCTCCCCTGTACTCCATTATAGTGATATGACATGTATACAGTAATGTATATCCCCCTCCCCTGTACTCCATTATAGTGATATGACACGTGTATACAGTAATGTATATCCCCCCCTCCCCTGTACTCCATTATAGTGATATGACGTGTATACAGTAACGTATATCCCCCTCCCCTGTACTCCATTATAGTGATATGACATGTATACAGTAATGTATATCCCCCCTCCCCTGTACTCCATTATAGTGATATGACATGTATACAGTAATGTATATCCCCCCTCCCCTGTACTCCATTATAGTGATATGACGTGTATACAGTAATGTATATCCCCCCTCCCCTGTACTCCATTATAGTGATATGACGTGTATACAGTAATGTATATCCCAGCTCCCCTGTACTCCATTATAGTGATATGACGTGTATACAGTAATGTATATCCCCCCTCCCCTGTACTCCATTATAGTGATATGACGTGTATACAGTAATGTATATCCCCCCTCCCCTGTACTCCATTATAGTGATAGGACGTGTATACAGTAATGTATATCCCCCTCCCCTGTACTCCATTACAGTGATATGACATGTATACAGTAATGTATATCCCCCCTCCCCTGTACTCCATTACAGTGATATGACATGTATACAGTAATGTATACCCCCCCTCCCCTGTACTCCATTACAGTGATATGACATGTATACAGTAATGTATATCCCCCCTCCCCTGTACTCCATTATAGTGATATGACATGTATACAGTAATGTATACCCCCCTCCCCTGTACTCCATTATAGTGATATGACATGTATACAGTAATGTATATCCCCCCTCCCCTGTACTCCATTATAGTGATATGACATGTATACAGTAATGTATATCCCCCCTCCCCTGTACCCCATTATAGTGATATGACATGTATACAGTATGTATATCCCCCCTCCCCTGTACTCCATTATAGTGATATGACATGTATACAGTAATGTATATCCCCCCTCCCCTGTACTCCATTATAGTGATATGACATGTATACAGTATGTATATCCCCCCTCCCCTGTACTCCATTATAGTGATATGACATGTATACAGTAATGTATATCCCCCTCCCCTGTACTCCATTATAGTGATATGACATGTATACAGTAATGTATATCCCCCCTCCCCTGTACTCCATTATAGTGATATGACGTGTATACAGTAATGTATATCCCCCCTCCCCTGTACTCCATTATAGTGATATGACATGTATACAGTAATGTATATCCCCAGCTCCCCTGTACTCCATTATAGTGATATGACGTGTATACAGTAATGTATATCCCCCTCCCCTGTACTCCATCATAGTGATATGACGTGTATACAGTAATGTATATCCCCCTCCCCTGTACTCCATTATAGTGATATGACATGTATACAGTAATGTATATCCCCCCTCCCCTGTACTCCATTATAGTGATATGACATGTATACAGTAATGTATATCCCCCCTCCCCTGTACTCCATTATAGTGATGTGATGTGTATACAGTAATGTATATCCCCCCTCCCCTGTACTCCATTATAGTGATATGACATGTATACAGTAATGTATATCCCCCCTCCCCTGTACTCCATTATAGTGATATGACATGTATACAGTAATGATTACTGTATACATGTCATATCACTATAATGGAGTACAGGGGAGCTGGGATATACATTACTGAGTAATTACTCAGTAATGTATATCCCAGCTCCCCTGTACTCCATTATAGTTATATGACATGTTGTATACAGTACTTACTCCTAGTCCCTCCAAGTCCCCCACGGCAGTGGAGAGGGTGTCTCCTCTCAGCAGAGCCGAAGAAGCCGGAAACCGGAAGTTGTGAACCGGAACTCGGCTTCACAATGAGGCTTGGATTGCAGGTGCAGTCGCTCAGGCTTCATCTGTGCTTGCTGCTCGCCACAGAGGAATTTCTCCTCGCATTTGGCGAGCTGGCGAGCGGCTTTTTCAAGCCTTGTGCTAGGGGCTCCTTGAGCAATGGGCAATGTCTGCCTTTCAGAGAAATTCCCATTGACATCAATGATCTTTTTAGCTATCTGTAAGGGGGGTAATTCTTCTCTATGACCACAAATGTAAGGAGCACTCTTCCCACTGACACCACACTAATGTATCATGAGTTGTAGATATAGTAATTTTTTGCGATCATCCCGAGACTGGAAAGTTATTGTGTTGAAGGGGTTTAGAAAGGCTCGTCTAGCCTTTTTTTGTCTTTTGGATATAATAAGGAATGGTTAAAACCTGTAGAAGAGTGAGCAGAAGCTAGAACCGGTTTCCCCATTGAAGCGTTATCTTGCTGTCAAAAAAAACAATGGACTCAAACAGCAAAAAAAAAAAAAAAAAAATTACAACTGTTCCTTTATATTTCGGATAGAGAAGGAATCGATTAAAGACATTTAATTTTTTTTTTTTGCTGTGTTCCCCTTTGAAGATTTCCCTTCGCTTCCTGTCTTGGAGTCACTCTCTTTATAGAAAGTACAGCTGTCCTTGTTAAAAGACTTTCCCTCAGCATCTTTTCCAGTTACAAATGTACCATTTGGATTTTCCATCACTTTTAGTCCGGTGACCATTGTAGCACACAGCAATTAAAACCAGACATGAATTCTAACTCTTCCTCTCTCTAAAAGTAAAAAAGGCTTAAAATATACAGTACTTTATTAGTTATAGATAAGTTATATGTTAGCTACACAAACATAACATAGTTCTTTTTACTTGTTTTTTGGCCCAGAAAGATCCACACCGGGAACTACAGCTCCTGGCCCTGAAAATGATCAGGGTTTGGGGAGACACTTCTTCACTTTCTACAGTCAGCTGGACAGGAAATGAAAGGTAATCACCCCAGTGGGGACTATGACATCCATAAAACCCGACCAAGCTTCTGACCTTTCCTCACTCTATTTAAAACTAAAGTTAAATGTTTTGGCTGAAGTTCTACGTGAACTTCTGCAGTTTGTCAGAAGCCAAGAGAATTTCTAAGCAAGTTTCTAAAAAATAACACCAAATGTCGGTTCCCAACTGAAAATATGTAACAAATGTAAACCACTCACCTCCACTTGTGCTTTTGCTTCCTGAATCAGAGTAATGATATCTGATTTGGATGCCACAGAAGCCAAAACAGCCTGAAGCTTTTGCTGGTCCCTGGTGGAGACGCTAACCTGGTCCAAGCTAAACATACACACACAATTAAACAAAGTAAGAAGCTGGCAAAAAATATTGCATATTATTTCCTATCCTTTAGATAAGATTCACCTGGATCAGTTTTGTTTAAATTATGTTGATATGCAATATGAAAATTCAGGCAAACAAATGTCAAGTGGTTATTAATAGCACCATTTTAACTGGCTTTGGGTGTCCAAGCTTTTAGAGAGTCTATTATTGGACTTGTTTCAATTTCTAAATCATGATCGGTAATATATATATTTTTTTAATTCTAATTCTAAAGATACACTAGTTCCTAAGAAAGTCAACCTAGATTTAAAGTGTTAATAAACCCACAACAGTAAAATCAGTCTGTATATGCAGTAAAGCATGCTTGTTATACTCACTGTGGAACCTAAGGGGTTAATACTCTGCACTGTGTAAAAAGGCTATTGATCCTGACTTCTCTGATCCTCCCCTTCTTCCAGGGTCTCACTCTTATCTCCTGATAAGACATATTGTGTGGAGTCACTCTGCAATTTGGTGTGTATTGCTAGAGAGGTTTTTTTTTTTTTTTCTTGGGAGAGTGCATGTGAGCAGCACAGTGCCAATCAGCACTGTCCAGACAGAGGGCCCGGGGTCCTAAATCCTCCTCGATCAAAATGAAAGCTCCTTCTACAAGCTTTAACCAGTGCTCAGCTGGACACTGATAGAAGTCACAAGACTGCTCTAACTGCTAATGAGAAAAAGTATTTATCAGTTTATATTTACTAAAATAATTGCACTTCCATGTTCTGTGTACTGTGGAAGACCAGATATAGTGAATGCAGGGTCCTGGGTTTAGTAACACTTTAAGCTCTCTTGAGACTCAAAATGAATCACAGAACATGCAAAGCCAAGCTGAAACAATGCTTCTTTCTTGGAAATTTCAGAAAATAGGCTCAAAAAGTGGTTTGTGATAATTACACCATTTTAAAGGGTTGATGTAGACCGGGGTTGTCAAATGTTGCCTTTTGTATTCAATAGAAGCACTAAAGTTATATAGGAAAAAGAAAACACGCTCACCTTACTGACCAAGACCTTCTGACAAGTTCCCCATCTTGCGTTCCATCTCCATCATATGCTAACCCAGATACACCATTGTCTTTAGAGCTCAAACGGGTGCCATTTAGAGCAGGTATATTTTCGGCTCCTGGAGTCCTTCTGGGTGTAATCTCCAGTTCTGTTTTTTATACTGTGGAGATTTAGACTCTATAGAGAAATCCTCAGTGCAAAGTTTATCAAGATCCGGCATGCTTAGGGCTCTCAATTCTCGTAATTTGGAACGGGATAAAGATGGCCTTATGTGGCTTGGTGTCGTCCTGTTTTTTCTGACCTGGACCCCTTGTACAGAGTTATCTTCTTTCTCAGTCTTAGTGAACTCGTGAACTGGAATATCCTTTACAGAGTCTACCGGGAGCTTTTCAATACATGTTAAGGCCACGTTCGACGGAGATTTTGCTATTTGTGTTGCTAAGGACACTTCACTTTGGCTATCACAACATGAGCTCAAACTGCGCCTTAACACTTTTGCATTCTCATTGGACTGTGTATGTGAGGGTATCGAACCCGAAGATCTCCGAATTAAGGGAGGTTTGTAAGAAAAAGGTGTGTTATTTATTTCAATGATCTTCATTACACTTTTGTCAAAGTTTACTAGATTCTCGAATGACTTAATCCTCTGCTTTACGGTCAGAGAAGATAAGGTTTCATGAGGCCAGTTGAGTTCATAGTAATAGTTCCTTTTAATAGGCCTTGGTACATCATTCCTTACAGAGCCCCTTTCATTGAGAAGTAGATTATCCTCATTTGGTTTGGAAATATCCTGAGTATTGTAGTCATCTATGCTTTGATATGATACTGACAAACTAATAGGATCATCCAAAGATGAACCCTTTCTATGATGAACATCATTGTTTGCAGCATTGGGAAGATGAGTTGGCATTGAATAAGTTCTTGTCACTGTCTTAGATCCACTAGGTGGTTTCTCTACAAGGGGTGCATCTTCTTTGAGCCTTGGGGATTTGTAAACAATAGCAAAGCTGTCATATATGGTATAGTCTGTTTTACTTCGGCTTTCATTTTTTAAGTGTGTGTTTATAGATGATAGTGAAGGAGACAATTTTACTTCCATGAATGTACGTTGAACATCATTATCTAGTTGCTCTTCATGATTATGAAGGGAAGTCAAACTGCGGGTTTCATTCCTAGAAAGTCCACTTAGGTCACCTCTTTGTTTGCTATCAAGATCACTTTTTTTGCTGAAGCACTTGTCATCGTTTGTGGTCTGGTGGCATGCAACTTTTTCTCTAGTATCAAAGCTTTCATCCATATCCACAGATGACTCGATCTCTTGATTGCTTTCATCTGGACTTTTTTGTTGCTCCGTTGGTGGGCAATTTCTCATTTTCACCAAGGCTTGGCTTGGAACTAACCACTGAACTGGGATCGACCTTAGCTTGGGCCAGTATCGTTTTATGTGTGGCTCTTCTGTTGCTCAAATCTCTGGGAAAAGGTGGCCCATCCAATATGGTGGGCCTCTTGGGTAGAAGTTTAGGAGAAGGCTGTGTGGTGGATTTTCTATAGTCCCAGCCTTCTGTTTTATTAATAAATGATTTAGCAACATCAGCACTGGGCCTATTTTTACTCTTTATAGTGAGCCCCTTTAACTTTGGCCCTGGCTTAGGCATCTGAGTACCAAGAATATCTAGGTTACTGTTCAATGCCCTCTTGCCATCTTGCAGCTTTAAACCAGCTCCATTTACCTTGGATCTTTCCACAACAGAGGCTTTTGTTGTAGAACTTTTTACAGTTTTGGTGTCTGTTTTTGCTAGTCCATTTTTCTCATCTGATGTTAAGGTTTGGTGACTGGTACTTCTTACCGGAGACTGTATAGCACTAAGGGGTTCCTTGGAACAGGTACTAGTCCTTACATCAGTCTTCACATTAAATGACAATCCTTTACCACAATCATTTTGACTAGATAGAATATCTACTTGATCTTCAGCATTTGCCCGACTTGTGGTGTTAATGTCCATAGTATCATTATCAACACACACAGATGGCTTGACTTCTGTAGAATCACATGCAAGCATTGGTGAACCTTCCTTTAAATAGTCTTCCACATTTAAATCAACTTGTTCAAGAGGTTCCTGAGAATATTTCTTACGTGAAGCATCTAAAGGGATCATGTTTTCAGAGGTTTCTCCACACTGTGGACCTGGACAGTACATAGAGTCCAGCTGCGTGGGTTGACAAATCACTGTCTCAGATTGGTAAGAATGTGGCACTTTCTGCATTTCAACATCATCCTTTTTGCTAGCACAACATATTTCTATTGGCTCTTCCTCTGAATCTGTGGTTGCCTGTGTTTCAGATACAAAGGACTGGTTCTGAAGGGATGAAATCATATCGCTTGTAGAATCTGATGGGATTTCCAGTAAAGACTCACTATCAGAGTCTTCCACTGTTCCATACATTGAGTTGGAGAGCTCAAAAGAGCTACTTTCAAACTGTTCAGATAGTGAAAAGTCCTCTGTGGTGAAGCTGCTAAAATTTCTACAGTAACTACTTAAGCTGTTCTTATTTACAGTAATTGTATTGTCTATAGGAATAGTGTCCAAAATGGAAAACCCTAGTGGGCCAGTGGTATCTACAGCTTGGAGGGTAAAGCTTGTGTTGTTGCTGGACGATTTATTAGCAGTTGAATCAGGTTTAGCATATGCTGCTTGTTCTGAAAATCTCCTAGCCTCCATATTACCCGTCTGGTCTAACTCACTTATAAAATCATCAATGTTAGTAACAGGGCTACCACCACAATGGCCAGGTGAAGAACATAGGTTGGGTTCTCCTTTTTTGTCCATGTCAGGAGAAGCTGATGAAGCCAAATCATTATCAGTAGGGCAAAACTGATGGAGGCAAGTATTGCAATGTTCTTTCTCCATTGATGTTTCCTGAAGATGGTCTTCCCTGGTTGTATCTGACCCTGAAGTCATGATAATGTGGGACAAGCGATCAACAGCTGTAATCAAATAAAAAGCCGTATGAACAATCCCAGAAATGAAGATTTCTATTTATATACTACAGAATGTACTTCCTATGAGCATTCATATAACTGCTGCTCCAAACCTGGCGAAACATGGATATAAATTTTTTATCTGGGAACCTGAAAAACAAATTCTGGAACCACAGAAATGAACTAAATCATCTTGACTGAAGCTTAAAAGCCATATTAAGGATTATAGCTATTAAGGATAGAGCTATAACGTATACTTCCTACATAACTTACATAAAATAAATTGTACACTTAAAAAAAAAAAAGGTAAGACTTTAAAATTTGTCTAATTTTAATAACATCCTTTTAGGAATTTAGGAATAAATAATTACGTGCTATTATTCTCCCTTTTGAATTGTCTACTTGAAGCTAATATATCAGTTATGGTTGAATGTAGCCTTTAAAATGATTGTTTACATCCAAAGTAAAAGGGTCACTATTTTACACTATTTGAAACAAATCAGTCAATTCCCCCTCCTGTGCAGCCATTGTGTTCTCCCGGGGTGGGGGGGAGCCATCTCCGCCGGGAGAACACAGTGATTACAGCTTTAATAGCCGCTAGCAATAATCGCATGTAAAATCTGGCAGGTTGGTCGTATCCAAACTGATCGATCGATCAATCAACTTGGGTACATTCAGCCTGCTCCTACATGGTTTCAATCTCTGCTGGTCCTTGCTGAACTGGCCGAGATTCAAACCATCTATGACCGTCTTTGGGCTCTGATGCGTTATCACTGGTGCAGCACTTCACAAATTAAATAAAAATAAAAAGGAGGCATATGTATTACTGTATATGAAGCTTTATACCATTACACTAATACATTAAGAGGTTTCATTTGGACTTTTTGGAATGTTTGTTTCTTACGTCTGTTGTGCCCTTATATTGACTTATATTGACTTTTTTCTCTTTATATTTTTTTAGGGAATTATCCTTTTAAAAAAGATTCTTCTACCTCCAAATCTATTTTTTTTATGCTTTTCTCTATGCGTTATTACTGGTGCCCGTTTCTAAAGAAATAAAATAAAAATTGGAAAAACAAAATTCCAAAGACAAAACAAAACTTTTCAAAGTCACAACTGTGTGGCTATTTCAGTATGGTGGGAGAGAAAAGCTGGAAAATCTGAATTCCAACGGCATAATCTCACGTTTTTTGACACAAGTTTCCACTGCTGAAAAAGGTCTGATGAATACCAAACTTTTATTCTAAATGTTTTTACTCTGATTTGAGGAGCCAAAGGCAGTATAATTTGAACACATATTGAAAGTGCCTTAACACTTCATATTCTAGACACTGCGGGTCAGGTAATGTGTTTTAAATAAAAGCACGCACATTTTCTCCAGGAATTCTTCACAAACAGGACATAGCAAAAGTCTAATATTCGGCGGTAGGAGTTTAGTCTATAAGCAGATTGCGTGTCCCATCTATAATTTTTCCTGAACTGCTTTTAGAAGGCTGGCAAAATACTCTAAAAATGTCAGCAATTCATGTTCAGATGGAATACTGGGATTAGATAAATAGAGGACCTTCACTTTCAAACAGCAATGATTAATTGTAAGTCTACTGATCGTCAGTCCTCCTAAAATTATTTTTAGTTCCCAAGCTATTTTGGAAAAATTTACAACAAAGCAAAATTACCGCAAAAATCTCAAATTTTGCTCATTCAGTTGTTTAAGCAAAATTTGTTGACAATTAAAAAAGGACTCTTAATTTTTTAGAGGGTTTGTTTTTTTTTGGTAGGTACTTAGGGTAATTTAGTTTGTTTGTTTTTTTTTTGCTTTTTGTGATTGATATTTATTAAAATGTTATATTCAAATTTTTATTCTACTTTCTTCATTGTCTGTTATTTTTGTTTTTTAAAGAAAAACAAAATAAATAGAGCTGATAACTAGACATTTTGGGGTTAATTTACTAAAAATGGAGAGTACAAAATCTGGTGCAGCTCTGATTAGAAACCAATCAGCTTCCACATTTTTTTTTTTGGCAAAGTTTAATTTAACAAGCTGAAGTTAGAAGCTGGTTGGCTACCATGCAGAGCTGCACTAGATTTTCCACTGTCCAGTTTTAGTAAATCAACCCCTTTTTATCTACAAAAAGGATCACAATACTTGAATTCAGCTTCTATAGCCCC